GTTAGCAAGAAGCCTGCCACGGCCATACAGTTTGTAAGCAATATAAGTCTCTGTGTTTACTTGGTTGGGTCTGAGCGGCTGTGAGACTGGCGGGTGACAAAGATTTGTCCTGACTGTGGGCAAGGCGGAAAACTCTAGCAACAATCTCTGGCTATTTCAAGGGGACACACATGAGAAATATATCAACTAGTGTTTTTCTGGCTGTGGTCATGAGCAAGCACAATATATTTATGCCATTTCTTTAGAAGTAGAATTATAAATGCAATTGGAATGCCAAAGAGCTTGTTCGCTTTTATATGTAACTATAAAACAAACAAACAAATAAACAAAAACCAACCCAACCAACTTACCAACCAACCAGCCAACAAACAAACCAACCAAGCAAACAAAAACCAAGGTCTCCCTATATACTACAGACTGGTCTCAAGTTTTCTATGTAACATAAGCTAGCCTTGAACTTTCATTCCTTCTGTCTCAATCCCTGCAAGTGCTTGGATTAAAAGCAGGAGCTACCATATCCCAGTGACCTTGTTCCCATTTTAAAAAAAATAGCATTGGGTTTTATGAATTTTAACATTGTAAGTTTTCACTGTATTTAAATTTTTACAGATTTGCTGAGTTATAATTTATATAAAAAACAGCATATTCTTTTTTTTTTTTTGAGACAGGGTTTCTCTGTGTAGCTTTGCGCCTTTCCTAGAACTCACTTTGGAGACCAGGCTGGCCTCAAACTCACAGAGATCCACCTGCCTCTGCCTCCCGAGTGCTGGGATTAAAGGCATGTGCCACCACCACCCAGCAAGCATATTCTTAAGATGTATAATTTTATAAGATTTGACATATGTATAAACAACTGATGCTATGAGCATAAACTATGAAGCTATAAGCATATGACAACAAGCAAGTCCATCACCTTATGATTCTTCCTAATTCTTTCCTTCTGTCCTTCTCTCTCCACCCAAGAAACTACTGATATGCTTTGTTAGTGTTTGCATTTTCTAGAATTTTATGCACATGTAATCACTGAAGTTTTTTTTTTTGGGGGGGGGGAGTCTGCTTCTTTCATTTGGGATAACTATGTTGGGACGTATTCATCAATATCTTATTGATATTATCATTATTACTATAATTGTTCCGCTAAACAGCAGTCCACTGACTGATATAGCATTTATCTATACTATGCATTCACTTGGCAATAAATGTTTGGGCTGTTTCCAGTTTTGTGGTATTAAAATTCAAAATAAAGAGGACTCTACCCACCGGTTAGGCATTTGGTCAAATTCTAGAAGATTTTTTTTTCCATCACACAGAGGGTGTTAATTTCAATTATTGCCTCTCAGACTTTGAATAGGTAGGGTGGATTATTGCTCTGCAGTGCTTCTTGTACTGGGGTGGGTATAGTGTGACTTTGGGACCCCGTTCACATGGTAGTTTAAGTGTCTGTCTTCCTTTGGCTCAATCTCTTCCTCTGTAGTAGCAAATACAGCTATGCTTTGGAAGCATTGGCTTCTCTCCTTGGCTAGACCTGTAAGCATGCCGAACAACTCTAGACTTGTCCCCGACCCTCTGGTTTCTGTATTTTCCTGTTCTGAATGACTTTATCTGCTCCTGATGAACATAGTTTCCTCGTTTCTCTCTTTTCGTGGCATGTGCGCACACACAGATGGGGCTGATTTTTCTCAAGGTTAAACTCCAGCTTCTCAGCAAGAACCCCTCATCTGCTATTCGTTCCTGACGTGGAGCTTTGTTTTAGTCACAGGCACCTCTCCTGCCAATTTTCTTTACTTAAATTATGTGGATACTAATTCCAACATTCAGGCTGCACTGAATTTATTTCCAATACACACACGAGTAAAATGAAGCACAAAGGCAAACATGCATAAATTAAAATGCATATAACCAATGGGTGGACTAGTACTATATAAAAATATCACTTATAAGCACTGTTTTAGTATTTAAATATGACCATTTTGCTTTTTTCTCCAAGAAACTAACAAGTTTCACACAGACTGGGAGA